TTGACCTATCTCAAACCACAGAATGTCTAATTTATTTAGATATTATTTTACTTTTTAGCAGTTTAGAATTTTTCTCCGTGGAGGTCTTGTATATTCTTTGTTCAGTTGGTTCCTAAATGCTTTGTGGTTTTTCTTGCAATTATAAATGCTACCTTATTTTTCTATTACATTTTCCAATTGTTGCTGGTATAGAGAAATTTGTTTAAGTTGATCTTTTACCTGTTAACCTTGCTGAACTGTAATTGCTTCTAACGATATGCTAATTCTTTGTGACTCAGTCTGTGATACTCTGTGAATGTTTATACCATATAAAAATAACGATGTTTTCTTTCCTTCCTTCCCATCTTTTTTCCTCTTGTTTTTATTTTTCTCCTTTCTTCTTTTTTTCCTAAACAATAGTGGCCAGGAGCTCCAGTTCTGTGTCAAAAATAGCAAGGTCAGTGGGCATTCTTATCTTGTCTTCCTGAACCTAAAGACGATGTTCCCTACCCACCTTCCACCTTTCCACGCACTGAAAGGTTAGGTCAGTTTCTTTCTGAATTCTCGGTGCTTATCTGGGTTGATCCCTACACTTATTTTACATTGTTGGCTTCTGCTTCCTTCTCTTCCCTGAAACAGCATTCCCCTTGCTCTTTCTTCTCTGTCCCCCCCTCTTTCAGTCCCCTTTGCTGGACTAATGTGCCTCCACCCCTCTCCTGAGTGTTACTGGTGTCCTCAGGACCACACCGGGCCCTCTTCCCTCTTCCTGTTTGATTGTGCACTCTCTCTGGGCAACCTCATCCCCACCGGTGGCTACGGTTCTCTGTGACTGTGCCCCGGACTCCACCTGGCTCCTTAGATGCCCCACATATATCTCTGACTCCCTAAACTCCAAACTTGACTTCCATTGTTCCCATCCCAAATCTCCTTTTGTTTTCCCTATTTCGGTGCTGGACTGCTACAATCCACCGGAGGCTTTACTCCAGAAACTTGGGTGTCATCCCCTACCCTTCCCACCCTCTCCACCCAAAGTCACTTTGTGGAATCTGCCCCGTAGCTAAGCCACACATTCTTTCACCTCTCCGCACCCACTGTCCCACTGTTGTCGCCCAGGTGCCATCCCTGTGACTCAGGCTACCACAGCAGGCTGTGGTCTCTGCCAGGGAGCTGCCCTCAAGCTCGTAGTTGCAGAACAGCTTCCTGATCTCCCTGATCACGCCAGACGCAGCAGCTCCCTTCTCGGCTCAGTTTTTTGGGACTTGGTCCCGAGAGTTCAGCTAGACTCTTGGTTCATCCCTCACAATGATTCTGAAACCTACTGATATTTCAGAGGTCTCTGCCTCCAACATTTTCCTTTCTACATGACACTCTTTATTGTGCAGTTTAGAGTAGTATTTCTAAAATTCACATCTCATCATGTGTCTTTCTCCCCTCGAGCTGCTGTAACAAAATACCTTGGATTGGGTGGCTTTCACAACAAACATTTATTTCTTACAGGTCTGGAGGCTGGGAGGTCCAAGATCAAGGCACCAGCAGATTCAGTGTCTGCTGAGGGCCACTTCCTAGTTCGTAGAGCGCCATCTTCTCACTGTGTCCTCACATGCTGGAAGGGGCAAAGGAGCTCTCTGGGGCCTCTTTTATAAGGGCACTAATCCCATTCCTGAGGGCTCCACCCTCATGACCTTAATCGCCTACTAAAGGCTCCGCCTCCTAGCACTATTGCATTGGGGGTTAGGATTTCAACATAGGAAATTTGGAGGGACACTTGCAGTCTATAGCGTCTGCTCAAAACCCTCCAGTGAATGCTTGTTACCTATTAGACAGAGTCTAAAATCCTTCCTGTGGCCCAAATCTTTGCTGGATCTTGGCCTTGCTTCCTTTGCTGGCCACATACCTCTCCACTTCTCCCTCTTTTATAATGCAGCTCTGTTTCATTTCCTGTGACAGACCATGCCCTCACTCCTGTCTAGGGCTTTACACATAAGGTAAGAACACTTTCCCTGATCATATGCATTATTCAGGTTTCATCTTAGATGACAGTTCCTCCAGAAAGCCTTCCCTGATCCTCCAAATCTGGCTTAGACAACCCCCTGGGAGTGCCCACTGCCCCTTCTTAGGCACGTATCACGCGGTCTTGTGGCTCTCTGTCTGCCTAGATGGTAAGTTCCACTTGGACGAGGATCCTTGGTACCTAGCACACAGTCCCTGGCATATAATAAATGTTCAGAAAGCATTTATCACATCAAAGTGATGTCTTCTGTTGAAATCCTAGGCCCCTTCCTAGGTACTCTGGAGAATTACTAGAAACATGGATACTCCTTGACATTTTGCCTCCTAAGCATCTGAGTGGAAAGTCTTTGCCTTTAGAGGAAGGTGCTTAATTGAATAAGTTAAAAATGTTGTGGAATGGCCTTTCATTGACATAAGGTCAGGTTGAATTCCATTCATACAAGGGAAACAACCTCCCCATAAAGATAAAAGATCTCAGTGACATGTCACTTATTTTTGTGCAGTGAGTGGAAATGCAAAATAATTTTTTTTCGAGGCTTTGGTCTGCTATACTGTTGAACATTCACCAATTTTGTGTCTGACCTTATAATCATTAAATTTTCTGTAATGATTCAGCTCTTCATGTGCTGAACAATAGTCCAAATAAAATTTGAAATGT